CACGTTCTAAGCTCCCTCTGTGTAGCCCAGCAGCCCGTTGCATTCAAAGCCCGTCCCTCTGTGTCTAGCGCTGCCCACATGTTCTAAACTCCCCTCGTGTTTTAAGCCCTTTTTGTCTAGCCCTGCCCACAGTAGCCTGGCCCCGCCCCCACGCTCCAAAGCCCTGTGTTTCCTTCCTTTAGCCCCTTTGTGTTCTCACTGCACCTCTGTATTTGGCCAGCCATCCTTCCCGTTCCAATCCCACCCCCTCCAGCTCTGACTCCACTCCTTCCCTCCCCGCAGGGCCATTCCAGTTTTATCACCCACCTGGATTGGGCCCAGGACAGCAGCTGCTTTGTCACCAACTCCGGGGACTATGAGATTCTGTACTGTGAGTTCTCTGAGACCCAAAGGCATTCCTCCTTCAGCCTCCTTATTTGCGTTGTGTGATCGTTGAGTTCTGGGAGGGGAGAGAAGCTTGGGCTTCTTCAAGTCTCTCTTCTGACTGTTGTATTTAGGGACTGTTCTGATTGGTTGGCTTCCTGGCTTCTGATTTCCTCCCTGGTAGACCCCACTTTTCACCAAGCCCTCCTCTTTCCAGTTGAATGGGTGGGGTACAGGTTTCTAAGCAGATGCCCCTGCTCAGGTCTTGGGGTGTCAGGACCCAGAATCCAGACCCCTTGGCCAGTCCAAAGAGGTGGAATAAGCCCTGGGACCCTTGCCTCCTGTTTTGGACCTCAGTGTCCATCTGTGAAATGGATGGGTTGTCAGTAGTTCTTTCAGCTCTGAATCCCTCCCCCCATTTTCTGCCCCAGGGGACCCAGCTACCTGTAAGCAGATCACCAGTGCGGATGCTGTGAGGAACATGAAATGGGCCACAGCTACTTGTGTCCTGGGATTTGGGGTGTTTGGTAAGTTCTGGAATGGGGAAGTTGTCACTAAACACAGAAATTCAAAGAAACACCCCCTGTTTTTTGGTTTTCACAGTCTCTTTCTTATTGGTTACCTCAGGGCAGGAAACTCACTCTTTTACACCTGTGGGCAGTATTTGTGTGCGAGGAAAGGGTAGGGGGAGATGACGGCTGAGGTCCCTTGGACCTGTAATGTAATGAGACCAGATGGGTGCTGGCACCTGGTCCAGAGGGAATTATACTGCCCATATCCTAGCCATTCCTTTATCCAGGCCTTAATGCAGTTAATACTTACTTCCTGAGCACCTCTGTGCCCAGCCTTGGTATCATGGTGCTTACAGTCCGGTGCGGGAGACAGATCTGTCCCTGGCCAACCCAAAGTAGACTGAGCAGGGACAAGGAAGCCCAGAGGTGGCGTCTGGCCTCAGCCTGTGAGGGAGTCAGGGAGGGCTTCCTGGAGGAAGAGACATCCAAGATAGAGGATGGGGTACGTTCCAGTGCGGTGAAGTGTCTAGGCAAGGGGAATAATAGCATGTACAGAAGCCCAGAAGTGACATAGAGCTTGGCATTCTCCAAATGCCAAGCTAAATCATTGCAGAGCTCCAGGGGAGCACTGGTGAGGACAAGGCTAGAGCAGTGTGGGGGGGCCAGGCCAGGTAGGGATTGGGGGATCACGGTGAGAAGCCTAGGCTTTCTCCTGAGGCCATAAGGGAGCCACGAAGGGGTCTGAGCATTGGTGGGGACAGGGTCAGATATGCATTTCCAAAAGATCATTCTGACTCCCACCCCTGGCTAGAGATAGGCTGGGTGAGAGGAAGGCAGGAAGGCTGGGGCCAGGGCCTGTTCCTCTTTGGGGGATCCCTGGATCCCACTGACATCTTACCACCACCTCCCCCTGTCTTGCCCACAGGGATCTGGTCTGAGGGAGCGGATGGTACTGACATCAACGCCGTGGCCCGCTCCTACGATGGGAAGTTGCTGGCTTCAGCTGATGATTTTGGCAAAGTCCACCTGTTTAGCTACCCCTGTTGTCAGCCTCGAGTGAGTCCTCTGGGGGGCTGGCAGGGTGGAGGTAACAAGCAGGAATAGGGGCAAGACTGAGGCAGCCTTGGTCCACCTTCAGGCCTCTCTGGGCCTCGGTTTCCCCATCTGTATAAGAAGGGTAGTAGATTTGATCCTAAGGGCCTTTCTTAACCTGAAAGTTGATGAATTTCAGAGTCTGAAGTGCTCAATCTCTGAGCATCTGCAATTCTGAGATCTTTTCTTGTTTTATCCTTATTAGCTCAACAAATATTTACTGAGCACCTGCTATGTGCCTGGGAGCAGGGGACACAGCAGTAAGCAAGTCAGATGAGGTCACTGAGCTGACATTTTAAGTGGCATGATAGTTGCAAGTAGCTACAGGTCTAAGGTTTTTGGATCTGCAGCATCTGTGATTCTCCTGCAGTTCTAGGACAAGAGACACAAACTCCAAGGCCACAGGGTCAGACAGGTCATGAGGATAATTGAATGAGGCTGGGGCTGGGGGGCAGTTGCTCCTTATTTACACTGCTCCACTGGGAAGCTGGTTCAGTACAGCCAGACAGGCAAGTTTTTGAGAGAGGCTGAAAATCAGAATTTTAATGTGAATTCCCTTGATCTGTAAATGTCAGCAACTATCTTTCTAAAAACACTGAGGGAATATTCAACTCGTCCACAGACCAGCAGATAACCTGTGTCTACCAGAAACCTGGGTGTTAATTTTACCAATCCCTGGTTCTAACAGACGTGAAATCTGTTTTAGCATTTTATTAGGAAACTATGCATAAAAGCGCAGTGATCCCGCCTGTACCTGTTACCCATGGTCAGCTAGTACCAGATTTGGCAGCTTGTTTCTTCCTGCTCTTCTGTCCTGTTTTGTTTTCTATACCTTTTAGCCTCTCAAATGAGCATTTATATCTCAAAAGTAAAGATAATTTTTACATATCCACAAATCCATACTCATACCCAGTAATTAACATTAATTTTTTAATATGATCTAATAGTCTGTATTCACATTTCCCTGATTGTCTCCCAGAATGGTCTTCTATACTTGGTCCCTTTGAATCAAGGTTCAGACATTGCACTTGCTTGTGTCTCATATTTTGCCATACAGACCCTCCTCGCCCATGTGCACACTCATTTTTGTGTCAGTGGCTTATTGAAGAAATTGGATCAATTGCCCTGGTTCTTAAAGGAGGGGCTTATTAAGCAGGAGAGAAGAGGGTCAGCTTGGGAGGACTTGGAGTGACAGTGCCCCCTTTGACCTTTCATTTCCTTTTTTTCCCCTATCACAGGCCCTCAGCCACAAATACGGTGGACACAGCAGCCACGTGACGAATGTGGCCTTCTTGTGGGATGACAGCATGGCCCTGACCACAGGGGGCAAGGACACCAGCATACTGCAATGGCGGGTGGTCTGAAGTGTCAGTGGAAGGGTCCCAGAGACATGGGGCCAGGGTAGTCAGGTGGCAGGGCTGGAATTCTATTTTCGGGAGATGTCTATTGCCGAGTAGAGTAATATATACCCAGAGTATGTCTATAGCAGAGAGGGTTATGGGGGAGGGAGGGTGGACTGACAGATAGAAGTCTCTATTTATCAGGGTGGGAAGAGGGGTCATTGTTTTGGGGGACCCATTGGGTGCTTGGTTTGGGGTGGGGTTTTTTTTAGTTTATTCTTTTATATCATCTAGAAATAAAGACACATGCACTGAGATGGAGTGTCATGGTCTGCATATATGGTGTGTCATAGGTTGAGTGTGTCTACAGGCCTGTGGGTATGGGGGATGTGTGTGCTTGGATTACAGTGTTTGATGAAGAACAGTTATTACTTAGGCCTTTATTGGATACAAGTGACAGAAAGCAAGCTTGCTCTAACTTAGGCCAAAAGAGAACTCAAACAAGTAAGTGCCTCTGGGCTTCAGGGCCATTGAACCAAGAATTTGAGGGCCACCAGGACACTCCCATTACACCTTCTCTTACCTGCGAGACAGCATTTTTCTCTGGGATCAGCATTCTCCACACCACCAAAACTACACCCAGCAGCTGCAAAGCTCACATCAACCAGATTTGGGCCCCAAGGCCAAAAATCCCAGGGAAAAGTTGTGATTGGCCCATCTGCAGATCAATCAGATTTGACTTGCTAATTGGTCTACTGTGATTGGCTCCACTTGGGTGAAGTACCAGTCCTGGGCCAATAATTGTGGCAAGGGAGGTGGTGTTATATACAAACAGGGAAGTTTCCACCTATCCCACAAGGTTGAAACAGGTCAAGAAATGTTTTCAGAGAAGTGGGCCTATGACACAAAAGATGCCTGTGAGTTAGGGTATGAGGACTCTGGGATGCAAGAGACAAAAACCTACTGTAACCAGCATAAACAATAAAATGTTGCCACGTCCTGGAACTGGTTAGTCTGGGAGGGCCCAGCTGGACCAGCCCCAATGTGGTCATCAGGAATTTCGCAACTCACTATCTGTAACCTTGAGCAAATATTTAGCTTTTTATTGGTGTTTAACATACAGCAGAGAAATGAACTTATGATAAATGTATAGTCTGCTAAATTCACAAAAACCCATCCATGCAGCCACCTCCCAGATGGAGAAATATCCCTGGCCCCCCACAAGTCGTCTTGTGCCCCCTCCCAGTCATTGCTCCCCACAGTAACCACTACCTTGACTTATCACATCACAGGGGAAAAAAGATATATATACACATATATAGTGGGGATTGAGTTACTCTGATTTCTTCATCTTTTGTAGCCAAGATGCTATCTATAATGATGCTGTCTAATTACATTAAAAAAAAAAATCTTTATTGATTTCATAGAGAGGAAGGGAGAGAGAGAGATGGAAACATCAATGATGAGAGAGTCGTCATTGATCGGCTGCCTCCTGCACGGCCCCCAGCAGGGATTGGGCCCACAACCCGGGCGTGTGCCCTGACCGGGAATCAAACTGTGATCTCCTGGCTCCTAGGTTGATGCTCAACCGCTGAGCCAAGCCTGGCTGGGCTCTAATTACATTTTTAAAAATGTTTGAGGCAGATTTTTTCTATTCCCTAGTTGAGTAGTTCTCAGACTCCGAGCATTAGGATCACCTGCAGGCCTTGCTATAATGACAGTGCAGCTCCCAACCCCCATCAAGGACCACTGGTCTAATGGAAATAGAATAAAGTAGCAAACAGGATTTTCCTGGACAGAAGAGTACATAACAATTTTGTCCCCTCTACAGATAACTTGGGATGGAAAGCTCAGAGCCTGCAGTTTCACAGTGTCAATTTACCAAGCCCATCTCTTCCTAAGGGAGGGAAATAACTCCTTTTCACTGGGTCTCTTAGCACTCTGTCGCCCCCTTGTGCCCGGCCTTAAACCTGCATGGAAAACGTGCCTAGAAGGTTCTATGGGAGCAGGGCTAGTAATTCTCCACATGCCCCCCTTCACCCCCTACCCCAGGGCCCTGGGAGACTATCGCGTGCAGGCTCCACCCACAGGGTCCCTTGCCCTCCGCCTTCTGGTTGGGTTCTGCTAATCTGAAACACTGACAGGAAATCCAAGGTAGCCTGGGAGAGGTGAGAGTGTGTTATTTTCTGGCCCCTCTGCATCCCTGCAGTTCTGGCCCTGTCTGCATTCCTGTACCTGGAGCTACGGCTCCTAGGGGCTCCCCTCCGAACTCTAGCTTTCTGTCCAAAGGGTGGCAATGGCTTGGTTATTGTGAGGCTGGTCCCCTGGCACCACCCCATACTTTGTGGAGTCCTTCACCCTGCCCATCCCTCTAAAACACCCCTTCTTAAGTGCTGCCACTTAGCCCTGGCCTAGTAGCTCAGTTAGTTGAGGGTTTGATCCCAGATCAGGGCACATACAAGAAACAACCAATGAATGCATAAATAAGTGGAACAACAAATTGATGTTTCTCTCTCAAATCAATAATAAATGCATTTTTAAAAAGTGCTGCCACTTAAACTCTTGGAGTGGCTGCCTGTTTCCTTCCAGGACCCTGACTGAATCAGCATAAACTTAGGGTGAGCGCAGGAGAGAAGGGGAACCTTTGCCCACTAGTGGGCCCCAGAATTTCTCTTTAGGAAGAGCTGAGATGGCCAAGGGCTGACAGGAGGGTTCTGTGGGGCTTGTCCTGAAGCCAATAAGATGTGTATAGGGTTACCTGTGGGAGGGACTAAAGCCTTCATGACACCTTCATTGGATCTGTCCCTGACTGTCCCTTAAGGGAGAGCATAAGGGAAAAGCCTTTATTCCTGTGTGCGTTGCAGGTTACTTGGGTGCTTGGTTAATTCTCTCACTTTCAAGAGCCCTGAGAGGAAGGCAGTAATATGGTTCAGAGAGGTGTAGTCACTTGTCCAAGGTCACACAGCGAATGACCTTAACAACTACCTTTAAAACAACAACAACTGTGTCACTTACATGAAGTTCTAGAATAGGAGACACTAATCTTCCGTGAGGAAAAGCACAGAGTTGCTCTGGGGGTGAAGCAGAGTGTGCGCATTGCCTAGAAAGGGGCGAGAACCATGTTCTGGGTGATGGGAAAGTTCCCGGTCCTGATCTGGATGCTTAGTCACATGGGTGTATCTGTTTGTCACAACTCATTGTACTTAAGATCCGGGCATTCTTTTTATTACAAAAATAAATAAGCAAAAAAGAATTTGCAACCCGAATAGCTGCCATGTTTGCGGGCTCCATCCCTGGTCTGTCCGGAGTGCTTTGACCTAGAATGAGTTCTCATGACCAGTTAGTGATGATACTGAAAATCAAAAGAAGGAAATGTGTTTGGAGCTCTCACCATGTGTGTGTCACTCCCTGAAAACGACGTGCTCTGCACCTATCACATGCACAATTAGAACAAAAAATGAAATACGTAGAACATTAGGTGGTGACAAGTTCTATGGGGAAAAGTAGATAAAACAAGGAGGAATGCCGCGTGGGGAGCATGTTTTACAAACTTGATAGTATCGACACCTCTAAATGACATCCCCATGACAAAGGGACTATCCTGTGACCATAGTGACAGAAGAGGAAACAGGCACAGAGAGGTCACCAGCTTTGGGTCTGGTCAAGAGGCAGGGCTGGGACTGCAAGCCCCAAAAGTCATTCCAGGGGTGGCCCTGACCCTGGGAATGGGGACAATAGAACCCCTGTTTTCTCCCTGTGGGGCATGAAATGAGCTGCAAGGCTTGGGGGCTCCCAGGGGAGGAAATGGCTGGGCTCCCGGAGGGTCGATGGGGGTTCCCCCCACAGCTGCGCTTGATCGGGTCGGAGGCGTGGGGCTGGAGGGAGAGTGAGCAAAGGGGTTAATGAGCCCGGGGGGATCCAGGCTGGGGACTGAAGGACG